CGTGTGAAATGAAGGGTGCAGATTTTGAATGGCCAAACCCCCTGTTATAATTTCATATGCTCGCAAACACAGATTTCTGATCACGCAATCCTAGTATGTATGCAGTGATGCAGCCAAACCAACAAATATCAGTTAGTTTCTTCTTGTCTCTTCCTGGAGGCCCAGAGCATCATGTGATCTTTATTGAGAGGGTGGTCTTTGCTGACTAAGACATGACCAGAAAATCTACCTGGATTCAATTTGACATCCAGTGATCACCATGCATTTATATTGTATGTAAGGGAGCAGATTTAGTATATTAATTTAGTACACTCATTTTGTGTTCCACAGGGTGGAGATTTTTGATAAAACATGAGGCTGAGTAGATCAGTTAAAAGCAAATACTGTGACTCGATAGACGGGCCAAATTTAGACACAAGAATGAGTCATTTCAGCTACAGCATTTAGACACACTTTTCACCTGGAGTAATCATTCCACTTATTAAAGATACAAATAATATTCTTTGGAAGAAACCACTTGGCTTGAAAATCATGAATTTCCTCTGTGCGACAGACTTTTAGCAAGGAAACAGAACGGAAAAGGGGAGAAAGAGAGGAAGCAGAGAAAGCAAAAGATATTAGATGTCTACGTTTACTCCGTATCAGGTTATCTGTCTACTAAAAGCAGTCAAACAGGAAAAACAGGGAGCGTTTCACTCACAGCACTTCAAGTACAAAACAAAAGTTCAGTCTAGGATAGCAGGCAACCCCTTGAGAAGTTTTAAGCAACCGCTTCCAGTTTCCCCTGGAGATGAAGAAAAGAGTGTTTCTGAGAAAAGAGGGGCGTGAGTGAGACCGTCCATAGACTTTTAACTCGAGTTTTTCAGAGTTGTCCTATGTTGCTACATTGTGTACTGTATTACTGAATTATTTAGCTTTTCGGATCATAGCAGCCCACAAATGTAGTGACGCCAGATGGCTTTTTTCACCACTTACAGCCTTTGACATTTTGGGTTTACATCAGACAATCCCCCTCTGTCTTGAAATACAGCACTCTTTCTCTCCCTCTCTTTGACTTGTTTGTATAAATCTGCTCTTATGTATCTTCTCTCTGTTTACTGTAATCAGATTCAATACAATTCCACCCAAGCAAAGCCCCTTCTAAATAGACCCCTTGCTTACACTCACTCCATAACAGTTTTTTGTCTTCACTTCCCTTCTCTCTTCTGCCCCTCTCTCACACTAGCACATGCAAAACAAAAGCCACAGGATACAGGATACAAGCACAAGGAACAAGGAGATGTCATAACTACACTGTTATATGGGCAAAAGCAACATGTACAGTAATTCAGATATTTTATTATATAATTATACATTTTTAACAAATATGCCAAATTTGTAGCCATTTTACCCATAAAATGTCTGTTTATGATCAAAAAAAGTAATTTAAAAAAAGAATATTATACACTACGTAAAAAAAATCTATAAAATATAAACATAATGGTTTCCACAAAAATATAAAATAGCACAATCGTTTTCAACATTGACAATAATAGGAAATGTTTCTTAAACACCAGTTCATGTGGAACAAAAGACTGGATTAATGGCTGCTGAAAATTCATCTTTGCCATCACAGGAATAAATTACTTTAAATTAAAATAAATTGAAAATATTTTTTTTAATACATTTTTAAATACGTTAATACTGTACAGATTTGAAAAAGGTTATTTTAAACTGCAATAATATTTCTGAATATTGCAATTGTACAGATTTTTTGATCAAATAAGTGCAGGCTTGGTGAGCATAAGAGACTTCCGAACACTCAGGGTATACCATGAGCATGGTTGCTAAATTACCACACTAATGATTCTGCCTCTGGCCCTAGTTTTATAACAGATTCTGACCTTATTAATCAGGCCCTCTAAGCCCCTGCGGGTGTCAAACCGAGGATAGAGCCCTGGGGTATCCCATCCGGCTCCCAGGTGTGATGAGAGCTAATGAGAATATGAGCTCAGGGATCATCAGGTTAAGCCACCCCCTTCCATCAGCCACATGCTAATTGAGTCTAAGCTCAGTAGCATGTCTTACTGAGCAGTGATACCCCAACACATCATGTCCCAATCACTAGTATGTAGCTTATTGTAGACCTGCTGTCAATGTTTACAATGCATTTTTTCCCACTGTAAACACTGTTTTACCATGTTTTTTGAGCATTCCATCATACCATGGTATTCATTGAAACTCACATACCACAGTTAAAATGTGGTATATGAATATAAAATATCACAGTATACCAAAGTACCATGGTTTTACCATCACTGTAGTATAGTAGTGTCAGTGTTTTTGTAAATAAACCATGTTTCTCTCCCTTTGACCCTGTTCTCTCTCTCTCTCTCATTCACAGAATCAGGTCTTTTAAAATAGGCCATCCAACCATTAGTCACACATACACACTCAGTCAGCTCTGCATATGCATACAGCAGTAAAGTCTAATTTTCTGCTATTATACACACACAGAGAGATAAAACACATTTTAAAGGGTAAATCTAGCTGACCCAATTACAGCTCAGTCATGGCTAATGCTAACTAATTCTTTAGACCATTGCGATTAATAAATCTGTACACACAAACATATACACATTCCAGCAGGTTTCTCATGTGTAGGGATGATATCAGAAAGTTATGGTGTTACATAAGGCTTTTACATAAGAAGCCACACTGCAGCAAGAGCTGCTCAGGAGTGAATGGTTTTTCGCTGCACAATTACTGTTGGGACTGCACCAAAACCCCCCTTTACACACACACACATCCATGTCTCTATCCACTTGGCCTTAATGAGTAAGCACTAAATCGAGCATAGCTCTTTCTTATCTGTATTCACTCCACACACACTTCCTTCTTTCACCTCACTATCCCAAACCACATCAATAACAGATCCATGACAATGGAAGCCCATAATTCTCCCCCATAACCCACAGTAAACACCTCCCTTTGTCAATCGGATTCATGCCGACAGCTGAACCTAGACCAGCTTTCTTCTTCCTTCCTAACGGGTGGGATTTAAATCCCAGCAGACTGTGGCTGGCTGCAAAAAAGACAACCGTGATGCTCTTTACATCTCTGCGATTAAAAAAGCTAACATCTAAGCTTCCCACATGGCCCTGTTTTGTGTGTGGAAAATGATGCATGCATTCACACTCGAATAGATGTCCACTTCCTGGATGTACAAAGAGAGTTGTTTTATTTATTAAATAAAGAACAATTTAAAGAAAGGAAGTATATAAAAGAAAGAAGACATGTCATGGGCCTTCAGAAAAGAAAAGTGTTTTACAGTTTACAAATAAAATGTCCTAGTGGTTAAGAAAAAGTCAAGTCAGTAAAAACTGTATTACTGACTGGTGGATCAAGCCAAACACTGCATAAAATCTATTTCTTAATCACAATTTTTCTTGTAAAGATGTTTTTAAAAAAATTAAATGTCAATTTATGTTGCTTTAAGGTTATTTTGGTATTTTTATACTAGAAAACTCACCAAAAAATACTGATTAAGAAGACGATTTCTGCAGTGATTGCTCACTTGAAAACTCTTCCTATGGAAGCCCAGTCCAAGTCTTAGAGCCAAAAGATGATAACATCTCCAGAAGAATGGTCACATGACAGAAGACAGATAATTCATGATACATATGGGCTTCTCCATATCTCTCTCTCCTTTATTTATTGAGCAGTGCGCAGGCAAATTAAACAGACCTTTGTGCAGAGTGATGTCATGCTACATTCAAAAATATCCAGCTCAGTATGTCCAGGTTAGCGAGAGTAGTACAAATCACTGTGAAAAAGGAGGATACTCACAATCCGGGGATTCATTTTTTGCAAGTCCTGTTTTCCAAAAGACAAAACAAGCAGTGCACAAATATCCACAGTGAGGTCATAGGGAGGTCCTTGTCCAATATAAAAGAGTAAGAAAAGTAAAGATTCAATAAAAAGAATGTTTTACTTTTCATCAATATCAATAGGAACATGGAAGTCACGTTGTGTGATACGAAAGAGTGTCTTGAACAAAAGGCTGTTCCCTGATCCAGTTTAAATGTACAAGACTCCATGCAGCTTTAATTAGGAGTGTCTGAAGTGCTTGGTTTAGTCTCACACCATTATCTGAATTCATTACATGTAAAATACTGGAGAGATAAAAGACTGCAGCTGTGTTTTACACAGTGCTTGTGGGATGACAGAGCAAGAAATTAGCACAGCACTGATCCAATGGAAGGGAATAAGAAGCTTTTTGATATTAAACATTCTTCTTAAGATCAGCATTCTCAGCTTATTATTTCTCTGTGAAAGGCTGGTGTAAAAAATAACCCTTAAGTTTACATTATTATGAATGTAATGTGTTACATATTGCAGTGCATTCTACAAAACTCATTAGGGTGTAATATGCGACATCACAAAAAATTAATTTTGAAGATATAAAAACAGATAAAGATATAGTCCGCAGTAGATGGGATGCTTGGTTTAGTCTCACACCATTATCTGAATTCATTACATGTAAAATACTGGAGAGATAAAAGACTGCAGCTGTGTTTTACACAGTGCTTGTGGGATGACAGAGCAAGAAATTAGCACAGCACTGATCCAATGGAAGGGAATAAGAAGCTTTTTGATATTAAACATTCTTCTTAAGATCAGCATTCTCAGCTTATTATTTCTCTGTGAAAGGCTGGTGTAAAAAATAACCCTTAAGTTTACATTATTATGAATGTAATGTTACATATTGCAGTGCATTCTACAAAACTCATTAGGGTGTAATATGCGACATCACAAAAAATTAATTTTGAAGATATAAAAACAGATAAAGATATAGTCCGCAGTAGATGGGTGAAATCAAAGAAGTGTAAGTGATTGCTTTATATCAAAAACATTGTGTTTTGGCCTAAAGCTCTTGTGATAGATTTGTATTGTCAGAAATCTGATGGGCCTCCAAGATCTTTACTTCCTGCTTTGTGAAGTGGGGGTGCTCTTGTTGCCAGAACGACGGACAGGAACCTTCGAGACAGGGATTCGAGTGCGTGGTGGAGCATCAGTCTTTTTAGGAGGGGTGGTTAAAGTGGGGCTAAGATTGGAAGACAGTGTGCCTTGGCTGGAAGAGTGGGAAGGTGGTGTTTGCCTCACACTAATAGGGATCTTGGAATCTCGAGGTAGGCTGGTGCTGCCTTTCATGGAACGGAATGAGGAAGTGGCAGAAGACGAGCATTTCGGGGAAGGCAAGTTCATTTTCAGATCACCTGCAGATTTTGTTGGTGAACTCACGTCATCGTCTGAGCCAGCAGCGCTAGGGCTGTCGGGATCGTAGAGGTCATAAAGTGCATCTCCAGAGCAGCTATCCCTCAGCAAACCTTCCCGACGTAGGAAGGTGCTGTCCTCATCATCTGGGCCAGGTGTGGGAGAATCCCAGTAGCCTTCATCACTTGGTGGGGCATCCTGGAGTTCTTTATCGACAGGGGGAGGTGAGGGATGTGAGGGTTGCTGTTTTCCCATCTTGCTACCTCCGCTCACAGGGATCTTACTGAAGCCAAGTGCCTTTACTTGTGGTGGCCTCTTCTCAAGCCGATTTGGTGCATGATGGAGGACAGGCTCTGTACGTCGTGGGGCTGGGGAGTCTTCACCCTTCTGGGGCAGCATATGCCATAGACCCTGCATGTCAGCATCATTAACACCCTCTGGACTAGCCATCTCCTCCCCTCCACCCATGTAGGCGACAACTCCACTGCCTTGTGGCTTTTTAGGGGGTGCACGTGGTCTTTGGTGGGCTGGCATGTAGCAAGAAGCATGGATAGATGTAAGACTACTGACCTGAGGACGAAGTGGAGGCTTGGCAGGAGAGCATCTCTCTGAATTTGTCCCGGCTCCGCTTAATCTGCGACCCATGCATCCCCCACTACTGCTACCGGTTCCACTGCTCGTGGCACTTCCCCCATTCCCAGAATCCTCTTCTGGATCAGCGATGATGTCACCACAGCCTGTTAAAGAATCAAAACTCTTTAGTGAAGTAACATCGGTGAACATGGAACATAGGCGATCCACAGATTGCTCGGATTGTGGGTCGGCTGTGCTGTGCTCCATTGGTGGGGTCAAAGCGCAGGTTGGAATGGAGGACAGGTGTGTTGAACTGCTGTGTTTATCATGTTGGAGCCCTTCTGTCTGGGCTCGGAGTGGAGAAGGAGATGGAGCTGGAGACTCCTCGGTGATTGTATGTTGTTGCGAAAGAGGAGGACCAAAGTTACCACACTCCAATTCATTAGCACCCTGTAATTCCTGCATAGACGTCGCCTTCCATTTCTCAGCTTCCCCTGGAAGAGTAGTCTCCTTACACACTTGTAGCAGGGGCTCAAGAGTCAGTGTCATGTCCTTGTCCATTTTCACGCTGCCGGAGCTAGAGGAAAGTATTAGGTCTCCTTCCTTCACCTCCTTGGCCACCTCTAAGGAGTCCTCTTGAACCTGGGACTTCCGCCGCCAACGCATGCTGAATTTTGTAGAGATTGCACCCACACACACAAAAATTCTAACAATGAAATTTTATATATTCAACTTGAAAAAAAAATAGGATAACAATTAGAGTAACGTAATTTCAATTCGATGTATGTGCTGTACATGTGGCAGAATTGACAATAAAGCAGACTTTGACTAAATTCAGTTCATGGTATCATGACCTCAATTTGATCTTAATTCGCTCAATTCAAGAATCAGGAACCAACAATAAACATTTTGCAGCATTTATTACACACACTTGAAACAGTTTAGAGAAATGGCTGATGAAATTTAAATGAGATTAGATCAGCTCACGCTGGTGGTCCTCACCTGTTTCGGGCCGTCTGGAGTGGTTGATCATATTCAACTAACGCCTTAATAACACGCAGTCCATCTGCCTCCAGCATATGGGCCCAGGGGGACTCCAGTTACCACACTCCTCCACTGTTACACAACACCAATTAGTTAGTCCAATTGTGTGCAATAGTAGCAAAACAACTGAAAGCTTTTGGGTTTTCTTTTTTTAGTGGTTTGAATATACACATCGGGGTGACATTTGGTAAGAAACATTATATGTTATAAATATTCTGGCAGAGCTAATAGATTGGGTTCCCACATCTTTTGACCAATGTATTTCAGTGACTTTCCCATGACTTTTCTAGTCGTTCATATATACAGTATAATGGATGAGGGTGGTGCAACCATTATAACTGAAGAGACAGGTCTCCCCTACTTTTTGTGAAATAATCATTATTTGTCAAAGATTTCAACCACCATGAAAATAAGAATGAAGCAAAGGTCTCTAACAGACAATCACTTTGGCAGTAGAATGAATAAACGTGCAATTAGCAAGTGGCAATCTACTATGGTTAGCCCTCATCCTTCATTTAGGACTACTGGGTGAACCTTACATCACCTAATTAATATTCATGAGCCAAGCTCATCTGGATTTAAAAACAAAATAATTTTATAGAGATTGCACCCACACACACAAAAATTCTAACAATGAAATTTTATATATTCAACTTGAAAAAAAAATAGGATAACAATTAGAGTAACGTAATTTCAATTCGATGTATGTGCTGTACATGTGGCAGAATTGACAATAAAGCAGACTTTGACTAAATTCAGTTCATGGTATCATGACCTCAATTTGATCTTAATTCGCTCAATTCAAGAATCAGGAACCAACAATAAACATTTTGCAGCATTTATTAATCTAGGTTACTGTTAATTTATATATTGTCATTCAATGGTAATCAAGTTCAGTTATTGGTTAACTTAATAAAATTCTTAATTCTATTAGTATATGTAATAAATAAATGTTGTAAAATTATTGTTAGTTATTGATACTTAATGTACTTCCTATTGTTAACAAATTTGCTACTTAATATAAATATATATTCAATTTACTATTTAAAAAATTATGTGACTTACTTAAGATTCTAATAATTTCTCAGACTTTTCCAGGTCTACAAATCACAGGCCTAGAACACAAATCAAATATTGACTGAGTAAGACCATGTCAAAGATTGAAATCATAGTGAAATTAATGGTTGAAACCAAACTTTGATTAGAAAACAGAGTAGGTCACAACTGTAAAAATACTTTAGTTTCCACTAGGTTTGGGAATTCAGAACAGGTTTCTTTTTTAAATACTGAAATCAAATTATTTTCATGATGATTGGTGCCATAACGCTTATCAAAATGAATCAAGACCTTTGTTGTGTGTACTTGGTGTGTATGAGGCTTAAATTGCTGTAGTCATTGACTCGTTTTCCTATGATAACCAGTTAATGTAATTATTAGAAAAAAATATATATCTACCAAAAATGTTTTGTATTAGGTAAGCTGTAGCAGATCAATTTCCTTAATAGTAACGTTATATTGGGATTGATATTTTCTGTACATATAGCCTACTCTTTTATTTACTATGGAAGCCCATTTCTGCTTAAAAGTTTAAATAATAAAAAAAAAAAAAAAATATATATATATA